AACAGGGCGCTTAAAATCTGTGTCTCAACAAATCTCCCAAAGGACTAGTTAAATACCCTTAGTCTTGACTTTAATTTGAGGCTTGCAAAATCAATAATTCTTGATACACACTTCCTGTCCTTATTACTTGATGAAAAGTGAATGGAACTGTCCTTAGGGAAGTACTTAGATCTGCCTTTACCATCCTGCAAATAAACTGCTGGCCTGGTTCCCATCTACCACTTTGTTATTCTTGAACCAGAGACCAGAAGAAGTTTCCACTCACCTAACAGTGATCAGTTAAGACCTATTATGTGTCAGACATGATGCAATGTACTAGGGATACAAAGATAAATAATGTAAATCAATACAGGGAATGGTATGCTAAGTATATATAAATAGATAGAGCCTTATGAGGTACACCTAGCTATGACTGGAGTCAAGAGAGAGGAAGAAAGGCTGAGAAGGCAAGGCTAAAACCAAAACTCAAAGAAAGAACAGGAAGGATTTACCAGGTATCCAGTTGGTGCAGAGCATCCCAGGCATTTAGTTAAGTGACCATATATGTTGGTAATAACCAGGAGCCAGAGCTCCCAGGAAAAATAATCAGGGAATGTAAGGCAGGATGAAGAAAGGAGTGTCATAAACTATTAGCAACGTATCATTGGTGTACCATATATAGCGCTAACCTCTTTCCTGGAGAGTTCAGAAGAAGATTCAAGAAGGGGGTGGCATTTGTTCTGGCCTTAAAGATAGATAAGATTCTCAAGTGGAGAAGGGAAATCATTCTAGTAGAAAAAGCTGTGCAAAAAGCAGATACCCATGAAAGTGCATGTCAACCTTCTCTCTTCTGTTTACATCCTCTGCCTAGAGGTGTCATCCAGATCTGTGGCATCAAATATCACAAGGAAGTATCTCTTTAATTAGGTCTCCAGCACTAAGTTCTTCCCTGAGCCACCCATTTGTGCATCCAGATGTTTGTTTGACCTTTCCACTTAGATTTCTTATAAGGAATGTCAAGTGTTATATGTTCAAAACTGAGATCCTGATTGTCTTCTAAAGCTGTTACTCTCCCTATCTTCTGTCTCAGTTATTGGCACCACAGTCCAACCAGTTGCTCAAGCAAAAACCTGGGAATCATCCTTGATGCCTTTCCTCCAATCTTCACAGCTAATCTCTCAGTGAGCACTCTGATTCGACTCAAAAGCTCTTCTTAAATCTTGACTCATTTTCTGAATCCAAGGGATCATCTTTGCCTTACCCTTCTATCTCTTCTCCTTGTTTCTCCTTAGCTCCCCTACTATCCAGGCCCTACTTAATAGCCAGAGTAAGATTTTTAAAATGTAAGTCAGATCATGTCACTGTTTGCTTTAGTCTCTTCAATGGCTTCTCCTTGTTTCTAAAATGAAATCCTGGCCTAGTCATCTAGGTCCATGCAGCTCTCTAGTTTACCTCTCCTCTTACCTCATGCCACCTGCTCCAGCTGCACTGGCCTCCTCACAATTCCCAGCACATGTGAGGTTTTTCCCACCCAATGCTATTGCACCTGCCACTCTCTCTTCCTGAAGTACTCCCCTCCATCTCTTCCCATGAGTGTTTTATTCTTATCTTTCATGTTTTCACCCAAATGTCATTGTCTTCAAATGTCCTATTTAAAGATGCCTTCTAATCTACACCAATATTTCTAAATCATCTCTCCACTTATTTCCTTCTTAGAATTGAATACAACATGTAACATACTGCTCATTCATTCATTCTTTATTGTCTCTTTCCCTTTATAGAAATCCCAGTTCTATGAGGGAGAGGCCTTATTTAAGCACCGCATCCCAAGGACACAGCATCTGGCTTTAAGCATGTGCTCAATAAATATTTGTAGGACAAATTAATGCCAAAGTCAGTAGTGTTTTAATACTATAGATAAGGGTTAATATAATGAAATGCACAGAGACACCAAATAAAATCATCAGAATTGAAAAGGATATTTGATTTGGTCCATTGGAAGTCACTGGTGAGAGCAGTGAATTTGTAGTGGAAGGCAGAGGTAGGAATACCATGGGTTAGGAGTAAAAATGGAGGTGTGAAAATGGAGAAAAGCAAGTATTCTAAGATGCTTGCCTAAAGAGGGACAACAAAGGGTGTGGTGCTACAGTCTTGGGGAGTCTAAAGAAAGTATTTCTAATTTTTGTAATAGGAAAAATTATTTGTGTTTAATTCTATGTGAGGAGAAGGAAGCAGCAAAGACCAAGAGGCTGAAGGTAGAGGGGAGAGGGAAGTAGATGATGGAGTGAGGCTATGGAGAAAATGGAGTTGGGAATGAGGTCTATAGTTCAGGGGAGGGATGAGTCTTGAACAGAAAGAAGGATGCCTCTTCCTCTGGTGGGTAGGACATCAAGGAAGGTGATTTCTGTTTCCGCTAATGAAAGAGAGGAAGTAGAGGCAGGTATGGAGCTGAACATAGTGAACAGGTTTTGGAATAGTACTATGGGAAATTGAGAGGCATCGACCAGGAATTCATAAAAGGAATGCTGATTGTTACTGAGGATTCCATTGAAATCATAATTAGTTCCTACAATTGTATCATCAATCAAATGGTTATCAAGTATATGCTATGTTCTAAACACTTTAGCTGAATAAATAACAATTTCTGCAGCCTGTGGGAGAGAAGCTAAGTATCCCAATTAGCAAAGCATCACAATGAGGGCTGCATTAGGGGAATAGCCTTATACAACAGAGCCTGGAAGATGATGGGAAGGGGTAGGAACAGATTCTGGTCACAGAGTCCATTGCTACTATTCAAGATTTCAGAGTAGGAACTGTTTTCAGTGATAATAGAATCCTACAGGGGAAAATGTTTTTTTTGACTGGAGGAAGTCATGGAATTGTGAGAATAACAGGTTGGAAGGGCATTCAGACAGACGCTGAAGTTGCCTAGGAAAGGGCTGTTGACAGAGAAGGCTGTGACTCAGGTATTTGAATTCTTGACCTTCTGGAAATTCACATGTGCCTGTGATAAAGACAGGTGGAGAGTGATAGATCCAGGTAGTGTAAACATCAAAGGGAGAAGGGATTATACATGAGAAGAATATCATAGTGGTCTTGAAGTAGAAGTTAACAATGAGGAAAATGCCTAAACTTTTCTCAACCCTGTGGCACGTGGAGCATCAGAAAATGAGCATCTGTCACTTGAGAGAATTTCAGTGAAAGCAAGAAGTAGTGTTCTGAAGGTTGGAGATGGAAGAAGTTTTGTGTAAGATGACACAGAGGTTCCAACAGAAAGTACTAGGAAGGGGTAAAACATGAGAGAAAGAGAGAGAGAAAGAGAAAGAAACACTTATACTACAGCAATACTTGAGGGTAGCAGATGGTCAAAGATGAAAATAATTGATCCTGAGATTCCAAAAAGCTCCAGCTATAACATACTTCTAGAGCTGCACAGGGAAGTGTACCAAGTGATGTCAGAGATTCAAGGATGCCAGCAGCCTGAGCCGCTCTGCTTGTAGTCAAAGGATTGCTTGACTTCCCTCTAAGGCCAATGCTGGGAATAAGCAAATATTATTGGACTGTTGAAACCCAGAGAAAAGTTACTTTTGATTCAATATCTGTTCTTTAAAAAAAAATCCAGTTTTAAAGTATTTATTTTTTTCCTATTTTGAAAGAAATACATATTGCTAAAAATAAGGTAATGCAGAAAAATATAAAGAATAAAATAAAGATTGTTGATAAAAACCATATGGAGATAGCATAATCATTATTGACATTTCCATTTTTGGCATTAATAAAATTCCCTGGCATTTTTCAGTTAGGATTCTGGAATAGTCCTTGTTGGTCAATATTTTCTTTCTCTCCTGCTCCCACCCCTTGCTCTCTCTTCATCATTGGTGCTGCTGTCTTTCCATCTTCATTTCTGCTTACCCTAAATTCAGATCTCAGTTATCTCAAGTGGATATCACTGTATACTGAGTTCATCCAGTTATTCATTAAGCATTGAATGAATGCCGCTATTGTGACTGCAGATTTTCTATGGCTGTGGCCATAGTACTTGGGAGGCTTTTTCTGGTTCTCCCAGAAGTCAGAGACCGTGTTTCTAGGACAGGTCAGGAAACTACTTAAATTTTCATGTCCACCCCTCTTTAACCACACTGGGGATGAGGTCAACCTGGCCTCTACAAGAGACCCCCAGTTGCCTGTCACTCATTAGCATTCACCACCAAGCTACTCACCAGCAAGACCCGTTCTCTTGACCCAGACACAACATGGCAGGCCAGAGTGGTGGAGTGAACTTCTGTCAAATGAACATTACCTTTAATTGTCTCATCATATTGGAAAATACTGAATAATAGTTTTTGTCCACTGAAAACTTCCGGTTTTCTCATTCCACTTCCATTTTCAGAATAGGGAAATAAAACAGGCCTGGTAAGTATGATACATTCACCTTTTTGTACTTGATAAACTTGACCTTTATTTTACCACATAAGTCAGAACCACTGTATACCACAACTCTGCTAATTTGCTCTTTTCCTCCTTCCTCCCACCTATCTCCTGCCACTTCCCCAGAAGCATAGAGCTTTCAACATCCTGCTGTCCATTAGCATAAATAAACGCATGCTTTTAAAGTAAAAATAGTTTTAACGCTATATTTGTTAAAGACTGCATTACCATAAGAGGATAAAAATATTCTTGAGTAACAGGTAGATCATATACTCTAGAGACAATAACATGCTTTTGTTGTGGTTCCCTGAAAGTCGATTATTTTAGCCACAGATTAAAACCTTAAGTCTCAGCACAAGTTATATTTCCACTTCAGAAATTGTTAAACCATGCAGTTTCTCAGGACATGTAGCTTCATGTTTTAATTTATTTTTTTGTTACCAATATGCTATAGGCAGATCCAAGAAACAAAAGAGATGAAGTCCCGTTTAAATTAAATTTTGTGATATGAACCAATGGCTAATGTTGTAGCTTTTTCCTTCATTTTAACATATCTGTTGTTAATTTAAATTTTATGTAACATTTAATACTAGATAAGAAAATACTGGGCTAAAAAAGAACAGAAGTGGCAAGAAATGGAAATGAGAGATCTTCAGCGTCTAGAAGAACTAAAGAAATTAATGGCTGAACAGTCAGTAAAAGACAGAGAAAGGTAAAAGGAAATTTTAAATTGTGTGGTAATGGAGGTGGTGAATGGAGTCTTGTGTAATGTGTTAGGATAAATAAAATCAGAGGGAGCAGTTTTCTACACTTAATGTATCCTTTCAATATTTATATTCACAAAAGGATAAAATGATATCTAGACTGTATTTTAAACTCTCATACATGAACCTCTAGTTTTCCATTTGTCCCTTAGATCGCTTTTTGGTTAAAACCCGCAGAGGATTTTATAATATTTGACTGCCCACTGTATGCACAAAATGATACTGGCTGCTGCTATGACTTTATATTTTGGCTCAAAAGGGGAAAGCCATTATTCAAATAAGAAGGGAGACCTATTTACTGTGACCGAGGCTTGAGGAAGACAATGCACAACTACACAGTGCAGCATGGCTTTCATTATAATATACTTAGGGTATGCCCAGATATATAGAAAAATCTGAATTTCCTAAAATTATGTAATTTTAGAGGAGGAAAGGACACTTGCAATCAAGTAGCCCAGTCTCCTTATTTTATATATGAGTAAATAAGAGATTAAGATTATTTTTTCAAAGTTACTGTATCCGGGCCAATCAGGGAGACAAAAACAATGCTGTAAATTGAACAGGGAAAGTTTAATATCAAGAATTATAAAGTCTAACAGTAAATCCTCATAACATAACAGAATAAAGAGAACTCTAAAGAATATTCTAAGGCTGAAGGAGGATTCCCATGGAAGAAACAAGTTTGGAATTGAGGCCCCCCTCTTCATGTTTAGGATTCGGACCTCAATGTAGCAGCTGTGGTTATAGCCCTCTGCATGGTGGAGATGTGGGTACTTGGGTGGGTTAAGCTAGAGCTAGTTCATGGTCACTGGGCAAGCAGAAAACACTCTTGGGTACAGGCAACACCCTTCTTGGATACAGGCAGGCCAAAGCTGGAACCAACTATTGAGAAGCTTGCAAGACTCAGTGGAAACCTGACTATGGAGATACCATTGAAATTTGGTGGGAACCTGTCGATGGGGGTCTCATTGGAACTCTATGGGCACAAGCAACACTAGGGGTACCCTACACGTGCTGTTGGCTATTGCATGGTAGGAGCAAGAAGGAGTAAACACTGGAACCAGAAAGAAAACCTCTTTCTGCAGTGTACTTCAAACACCCTCTTCTGACACAGCTTAATATTTTGCCAGATATAAGGAATATAGATAAAGGATCCGACTCCATTTTTCAGAGAGCAGACAATGAAGGGCGGATTTAGAGAGAGACAATATTTTGATAACTGGCATAGTTATTAATTTAGCTAGCTCCTTGGTGATTTTTCCGAAAGAGAAACTGAAGAGAGATCTTTCATTTCACAATATAAATCACAGTACATTACCTTTAAATAGTGAGCTTCCATACTGTACTTACCTAAGTTAGTTGTTGTAAAAAAGAATTGCCCTAAACTCTGTACTTTTCTGTGTAATTTCACTGCGAATCTGAAACTGCTCTTAAAAATAATGCCTATCTTAAAATATGCCCCTTAGACTTATAAGTAACTTTACAAGACATAACCATTTTATATAATGAGGTTCACCTACATGTGACAGTTATCTCAAACTCTAGTTACCAAGGTTGCAGATTAAGTCTGGGGTTTCAAATAGATGTTATACATTCCTAAGGATTTTCTAGGTGAAGTTCATATTATTTTTCAGGTAGCTCAGGATTTTTAGAGTTGAATGTAATCTGGTACTGAAAGAACCAAGAACATAGCAAAGCCAGGGCTTGTGGTTAGGAGGTGAAGCTGCCAATGAGAACCCAAATAAACAAGCACAAACAAAGGCATAAGTGGATACCAGAAGACAGGTCATGAGTCAGAAATAAGGGGGTAGATAGGAACTCCCAGACAGCTAAATGCTAAAGAGCAAGGCAAAGGCAGTGGTCAAAAGGCTGATTTAACAGTCTAAAAAATCCCAGCAAAACAAAAGAGTCACAGAAATTAAAAGGAATGGGGGAAACAGAACAGATGTGTAGTCCTAGCATTAGGAGACAGGCTTCTGATAAAATCACCCATTATTGTCAGGGAGCGCCTTTGCTTACAGAATCATTTTAGTCTTTTGCTTCCTGTCCCAGTAATTATCAAGATTAGCTGATTCAGAACTTCAGTTGAAAAAGAAGAAAAGGAAAATTAGATTAGTCTGCATTATGTAACAGGAAAAAATAGACATGTCACAGGATGGCAGAAGGAGTGCTAAGGGCTAGGAGCAACGAGACCAAGGTTTTAGTCTTAACTCTTCTTTGAATAGTCTATGACCTTGGGAAAGTTTGTCAACCTCCACATGGCTCTGTTTTGTCTTACATAAAATTGGACTGGATAACTTCTGAGGGCTGAGTTGATTAGCTTTTAAGGGTCTACGATCCGTATGTTCAACTCTTATTTTGAAACGCTGTAGATTCAGATTGTTTTGGAGCCAAGGTTTATATGCCACTGGGAAATCAGTGACGAAGACCTTTAAAATATCAGGATATATAAAAGAAATTTTCACAGAAAATTTTTGATAATATTGTAGATAGAAGTGTAGCCCTCATTTGAATTCAATGTGTAAAAATTGCTAGCAGCTTCAGCTTTTGACAATAACTAGAAATTGTGTTCTTTTGTAACTATAGGGTGCTTCAGAATTTGGTTGATTGGTCAAAACGTTTTTCTGTACTGCTGAAATATAATTCACAAACCCTGTGCTTGATATTTTAACTATAGGCACTTTCTTCATGTCAGAATAAGAAGGTTTGAAACAATTTCCCAATCTATCCTCAAAACACACTCGCATATCCTTGAGGGTTTGAAAACTTGTCATTTACCTCCTTTTTAAACTTTTTTAAATTCTAAGATTATGTTTCTTAAAAACAATATTCACAGATAAACCAATATATTAGGTTGAACTCTATGAAAATTGCAGTTTTGTAGGCAAAAAATGATTGAGTATTGGCGATTTCATGTTGTTCAACATAACAGAAGACATATCAATTTACTTTATTTATTCATGACATTTCCCTTCTCAATTTATTACACTATGTCTTTTGCAGTCTTTAGTTATTGAAATTGCTCTTGCTGAGGTTTCCATTAACTTCCTAATTTCCCGGTACCCTGTTTTTGTTTCTCAACATGTCACTGAAGTTAAGATGAAAGGTTAGAATCAGGTTGTTGACGTTAGAATACTGACTCTATCCTTTATAGCTGTGTGACCTTTGGGTAAGTTACTTAATGTCTCTGTGCTTCAGTTTCCTCATCTGTACAATGAAGATAGAAACAGTATCTACTGATTAGAATGGTTGCAAGGATCAAATGAAATGTTGAATATAACACATTGACTCTCTGAAAAACAGTTAAATATTCTTTAAATACAAATGATTCCTATCAATTGACTTTTTTCAACATGAGTAATCCCTAACATAAATTTTTTTTTCTTAAAATAGTCAAGCATTTTATTTTACTTGTTTATTTTTGAGTTGTGGTTGCACTCTGTCACCCAGGCTGGAGTTGCAGTGGCACTCCTGGGCTCAGGTGTTCCTTCTGCCTCAGCCTCCTAAGCCTCCGACTCCTAGGACTACAGGTGTGCCACCACGCCTGGCTAATTTTTTTTTTTTTTTTTTTTTAGAGACAAGGTCTCACTATGTTTCCCTAGCTAGTCTCAAACTCCTGGACTCAAGTAATCCTCCCCACTTGGCCTTCCAAAGAACTGGGAATATAGGCATGAGCCACCGCACTTGGCATATTCACATATTTTGATATTTTAAATGAAATATGTAATAATGAGGACATTCTCATAAACATTTTTAAAAGTTTAAATGCCCCATGACCACTAACTACCCTCTTGTAGTCTCTTCTCTGAATCTCATTGCTGTTATCAGTGGTTCAACACATATACATACATACTATCTATTTGTTCCTATTTTAAAAAAACGAGTGTAAGTGCAGTGATAATAAGAGATCCAACTTATTGAACAATATAGTTCCATTGTATTAGTCAGCTTGGGCTACTATGACAAAATACCATAGGTAGGGTGACTTGAACAACAGAAATTTATTTTCTCACAGTTCTGGAGATTGGAAGCCCAAGATCAAGGTGCCAATATGGTCAGGTTCTGGTGAGGCTTCTGTTCCAGGCTTATAGATGGCAGCCTTCTTGTTTTGTCTTCACGTGGCAGAAAGAGAAGCAGCAAGTCCTCTAGTGTCTCTCCTTTTTTTCCTTCTTTTGCCCAGACTTGAGTGTATAGTTGTGCAATCATAGCTGACTTGACAACCTCAAACTGCTGGGCTCAAGTGATCCCTCAATATCAGCCTCAGCCTCAGCCTCAGCCTTCCAAGTAGCTAGGGCTAAAGATGTACATCATCACACCTGGCTTAATGGGTGTCTCTTCTTATAAGGATGTTAATCTCATCATAAGGGCCCCATTCCCAAAGGCCTCACTTTAAGTACTATCACATTGGGAGTTAGGACCTCAACATATGGATTTTGAGGTGATGCATTCAGTCCACAGCAATCATTTGTTTTTAAAAAACTTTCATATATGTATACATTGCTTATTTACTATTAAGTGCAATTTATTGGTTCTGCTAGTGCATAAGGTCTTTGTGCCAGTTAGAAAAAGGTGCCTTCTTTTGGTGGCAGAGTGAAGAGAGCTCCTATGCAAGTGAACAAATTAGAAAAATGCTCCCCTTCTGAACCATGGCACATAGCTGACAAGCAGAGGCCAAGCTGGATGTCATATTCCACTTGACCTTGGACAGGCATCATTTTTGTAAAGCACAAACTTCAAAACAATACATGATATCCCTGCAAATGGACCTACCTCTTTTAAAATATTATAAATTATTCATATTTCTTCTAAAATTTAGCTTTGTAGCCATCTGGAACTTATTTTCATGAATGATATGTGCTAAATTGTTCTAAATTGATAGCCAACCATCTCAACACCAATTATTTAATGATTCATCCTTACTCACTGATTTAAAATGTCACCTTTGTTA